TTTTCGATATTTTTCCTATGCGCGGGGGGGGGAATATCACCGCTAAGGACAGAAGGCCTCGCAGGTTACGCGGACAGAAACCATTGGCTGTAGCTCTCCGAGGTGAGTAATTCTTGCGAACTTCCAACATCAACACAGGCGTTTGGTCTCTTTTATTACGCGCACGTGTTCCACGTTCCATGTTTGGTGTCAGATAGAAAACATAATGTAGTAAGCGGTCCGAAATAATGAGTGATTGGCCAATAAACAAGTCACAGTCCCACACAGATAGTGATCAAATGTTTGCGGTATCTGGACTGCGGCGCTCGGATTTGAGGTTACGAAAATCCTTCGCCATTCGCTGTCACGAATCTGGCCAATTAAGCAGTCGTTCGACAAGCCTAAGCAATCATGAATAGATTACCTTTTATGGTCACCTAAACTTTGCGGCGTAAACGGTTGGGACCAGGTGAGCATAGGTGTGGAAGTTCTGAGTTAGCTGTCCCACTTGATTCTCCCCTATTGGTTTGGCTTCTGCGTTATCCCAACAAGGAAGGTCGTTCTTTCGCATGGAACCAAAGAGGTTGAACCACAAGTAATGCTGACTTTCCCTGCATGGGCTACCCTGTTTGCGGGTTCTCCACCGAATAATAATAATAATAACAATAATCATAATAATATTAAATAGGTCATTGAGCTTCACCATCTTCTCGATATTTGGCCTCAATGCGCCCCAAAGGAAGCTTCTGGATACTTGTATGCCTGCCAAGCCTATTCAGTAGCCACCAAGGTGCTCCTGTTGAGTTTGAACAACGAATCTTCGAGTCAGAAACTGCTCGGATTACCCAGTACGCTGCATGGAGACCCTGTGTCTGCTGTCCATCGACATTTGGTGGTAGTAATTTCGCGAGTCCGTTGTGCTCTGGGATCCTGTGGCATTCAAATAAGGATAATTTTGAAACGATAGTCACAGGAACATTACAGCCCAGTTTCCCGCACATTATTCTTTCTAGTCTTTTTCCTCCTAAACTATTGTGGGCTCCGCTTGAAGGAAAAAATAATTGATGTAAGAAACATCATTTCAAAGAAAAACAAGTGCGAGAAACCAAGAGAGAAGAAGCCCACGTATAAATCACCAGACGTTAAAACAGCTAGGATTGTGCTGTGCTTCCCAGTGACCTAAATTGTATTTCTGGTAATACAGAAAATATAACATTTTCATCGAAAAACCTAGACTTGTATAGGACTGATAAGACAGGGTTCCCCCGTGGGCTCTAGAAATTTCCCCCAGCATCAAGTTTAATCCGGCCATAAATCTACCAATTCTTATCTGAATTATCACATAGCCTAAGTTGTGCCTCCATAAAGACCAAGACACGCCATTTTTGTAAGAGTTTGGTTTAATATAATGCGGGAAATTATGCCACACACTGAAAAATTACCTATGGAGTTATCGCATGCTGTGCCATTCAATCCAACGAGTTTGATTCGCCACATTATTTCTTTTTTTCAGGGGGACAGCACTTTTTGCATTCCAAAATGGTCCCTCAATCTATGACTTACTACTGCGACGTAGGCAGTCACAGTTCGGGAATCCAGAGGTCGAAGGTAGCAATACAACTTCAAGACGAACGCTTCTATCTGTGGATTTGATTTCGCGTTCTGGACACAGGATGGAAGAGATGCTCAAACGGTTAGCATCTATGTCGTATTAATGAAGTTTTCGTCTCTCAGGCTTTGCTTGTGAATGTTGCCTCCAGGATTCATCTAATTTTTTGGTCAGACGTATGTTCATAATAATTACTTCACTGTGAGCTGACGGCGTTCCGATAATGATGCTCAGCGATTAAGAGGTTTATGAACAAGGTATTATGTGGCTGCCTATTTTTAGCTAGGGGAACTGAGTACTTTGTACAATAGTCTATATCATGTCCAACCTGAAGTGAACGAAAAAACGTTTCTGGAAAATTGCCGTTTTCGCATTATTGACAACAGAGTGTGAGCAAGGATAGCCTGTTCTTCTGTCTCACGCGTATATGTAAGACGGACACAATTAATAAGCAAAATGAACATGGGACAATCAAGCTGAAAATCGATCGTAAACGGCCGAAGTGTTGGACAAAAATGACACGCTGTTCAAGAGTCACGTCAATTTAAGATTCGAATGTCTGAATCTCTGCTACTAATTTCTAGTCTGATCGATCCAAGTTCATTCTGCCGTGCAATTCTTGAGCTGAGAAATAAAAGTCTAATAAAAAGTGTCAGTTTTGTTTAAATTTGCTTATTCCCAGTGAAACAACTATTCTGTGATTTTGGCTGATAGAAATAACTTTCACTCTGATCTCATATATCACAGAGTAAAACCCGAGTTCGTTCCAGCAGCCCAAATATGACCTAAATTGTCGCTCAAACTAACTACCCCCTCAAACAATTCTGAATTAACGCATTAGCAACGCGAGTAACATTAAATAATTTGTGGTCAAAGCTTTTGTGTCAGCCTATGACTTAGTTTACAAAAACCACATTGGCGTTGAAATTTCAGCAGCGTCCAGCAATCCGGCAAGGATTGTAATAACAAAGAACGATATTCAGCTCTAGAAGCTGCACTGGTTGATGACATTTTGCATCTCACAACGCACATTGCGTGGTTATGGTGAAACGAAGTAGAACCCGAAAAATTTACGTTGCAGTATAGCTGGCTTGAAAATAAGACGGCTCAAGAGTAACCTGGAATCATCTCAGCAAACATCGTGCAAGATTCCTTCTTTTGCACACTTTTCTGGTTGATATACTGTCCTCCCGAAGGTAGTCCAGCAAAATAGATGCGTCGTTTCTCCATCCGGTGGTTTCATTATTATTTGAGTGAATAGCACGTTTCTAGTCTGCTTGGAGTTGCTTGAAATAGTTAAATTATAACGACTATGTTTGACATGTATTTTTCACCAACAACGCCAGCCTTCCTTTTGATTTTTGATTGCTATTGTTTTGAATTTATTTCTGTGTTGTTAAGCGGGACAACGTTTAATCGAGTTTCTTCTAAATACGTTTGCACTTTCTGCGGATCCCGAAGAAAACCCATTGTGGTATGCACCTACTGGTATAACTACTTGACTAATTCCGGTGTCATTTACAATGGATGTATACTGAGGGAGGTAAACCAAATGTCTCATAATTACCGAAATGGTTCAATTTAACAACAACCTTGAAATGTGCTACTGTCATGGTTCCACATTTTACCATCTCACAAATCCTTTGGTGTTGTTTGCAACAAAAGCTTGAAGTAACTTCCCGAGGAAAGTCTTATGTCCATTTTGGGTGCAGAATGGATGTAATCTCTATATATCCGTAGCAGAATTAACCAGAAGTAAACATAGTGGTCCCCAAATCATGTGTTCATTCATTCCCCGTAGCGCAGTGATCACACGTACACCAAATTAGTGCTTTTGAGAATTCGTGAATAAAGTCGGATTGTAGGCAGTTAAATATGAATTGCAAACCAATATACCCATCCTGGTTGTGATTTGAGACCATGGTTACTATAAACCGCTTAGGCTTAATGCACCTTTGAAAATTTCGAACATACGCACAAGCAGGTTTGTGTAGCATACTTACTTGTCATGCAGCTATCATGCAGCTCCTGAAACTGGGTTTTTTAGAGTAGTTTTATTGCTGGACAGACGCTGGTCTCTGTGGAAGGCAGAACAGATCACTTTTCTTAAAAACAATGATCATAATTTTTCTACAGTGTTTTGTGACACGTCTACAGAAAAAGTCAGCTCCACAAGAATCAAATGGTTGCCTGAATATTTGAACTTTTGTTTGACACACGTGAAATGTCATGAGCACGAAGCACTATCAAAATTCCCCAAGAAAACTGCATCGTTTGCTGAGAAGTCACAGTGTAAAAGTTTGCCATTTTGACCTGGTTATTCGGGTGCTTGTAAAATTAGTGATAACGGAATTTTGGAAAAAAATTATATGAAATTAAATACTGCACACATAATAGGAACCTAAGTTTCTCAGCACCGCAGTGTCTCGCAGTAAGAAAATCAACCTTCCCTAATGGAAATCCCCATAAATATTTGCTTTGAAATAAAAATTAACCCGGTTATTTACAAAGATAATTTGTCTTGACTGTAGTGAATCTTCGTTCTTTTTGTAAATTGCAATTCGCTGCAATCCTGAACGCAGTTAAAACAACGGACTGACCCGTCTGTTTCCTGCCTAGAAATTACGTTCTAAGCGCAATGCGATTGACAGAAGACGAACATGCCACTTAAATTACTGGATGCCAACCAATTGATGGGCAATTTTACAAATAAAGACATCATGAACAACAACAGACGCTTCAAGGCAGACTGGCCGATTGTGTGGGTCCATAGTAAAGTTATGTGAACGTGATGTGTTTTCCGTGGTCGGATAAGCGCTGTGCTCTGTCCAGAATAGGCCTAATAACACTGCTAACCAGACACCTATGGTCAAAAGTTAATTGTTCAGACACTGTCGCGATAGTTGAGGCTTCGAAACTTTGATTTGTGAGATGCACATCACGAGAAGGACGAGAAGGCTGTACAGTGCTTCTGGGCTCTTCATCAAAGACTGGTCTCGCTGACAGGACAAAATCCTCACTGAAGGTTGTGAAGCATACGTGAAAATACAGTCTCTAGATAGAAATGCTAAATAGCTTTCAGGAACTGGTCGTGAAACAGGACCCTACAGCAAATCTGTCTTACGCACATCAATTCACAAACGCGCGCAGTCATTGTCTGGTAAAACTACACGCGCAGATAACATGAATACTTGAGAAAAAAGTCGTATTAATGTGTCCGTGGGAAATTAACTTGTAATCCTACGCACAGATATGCATAACTTTGCAAAATGAATGTGCCCAATTGGGAGAGATATAAATGGTTTTATCGGAATCATTTTACGCTTGGAATAAAACCGTGAGCCCCATATGTATTTTTCATGGTCATCGTTAAGTACTACCAATTATACGTCCAGTAGCAAGTGAACTTTTTGATCACGATGAGGGGAAACGAGCACATTTACTAGTTTAGTACGTCCTTCAACGTACTTAAGTAAGTAGTTGAATAATTTTCATTGAAGGCAGGATCTCCAAACATTCACTGAATGATGCTGTATAGTGTTGAAATAGTGAGAAAATTCGCTTGTCATCATCAATTTTTGATGAGTTTAACGTTGTTGCTAGAAATTTGACTGGTTTAGGAAAACAGGATTGATATGGGGATGAAGGTTTTAACAGGATTTTAAAATCCGGTGGAATGTCGGCATAAGCGTTATTTATTTGCGCTCATAATCCGCATAAGTTCGTATTTTCACATACGGTCATGCAAATGACCTCTGAAAACTGCCCGTCAAAGGCTTTGGCAAGGTTCCCACGAATAGTTTATTGAAAAAGTCTGATACCGATGAAGGGGAAGATTCACCTAACTTTCCGACCTAATTGCAGTCAAACCATTAGATGGTTTAAGAAAGACTAACACCACTGGCCTTATTTAGCGCCAAGTTTCTCACCGAACAAGTCAAAAAGAAAAAAAACTTTTATAATTCCTCAAAGTGGTTAAGTCTCATTCACTATGTTAGCTCTTAAGGTAATATCAGCTGCGTAGAAATACGGACGAGAATTTACGCATTCATCCAAAAAGGGAATAAGTAGAGAAAACAGATTCATTCAGCGATTTCGTCCAAAAGTTTCAGTTAGGACTACTTGTCGTCAGTTCGGTGTTTAAGCGAATCGACGACTAGGCCAAAGTAGGCTCCAGTCGGTAAATGTTCCGAAGCAGTTCCATTTCGGTCAGCTTTTACACAGGAAGAGAAGCGAACAATGTGGCCTGTTCATTAAGGCTTTCAACTCATGAGCTACCGGAATGAACAGTTGCATTGAAAGCGGAAAACGTGTGCGGCTTTATATCATACTTTAGGCTAGAAATACAGTGGCTGCCTTATTACCTGTACATTCCTTCAACTGAACAGATATTAAATTAGCCGGTTCACAAAACTGTTCCAGTTGTTGTCAGTTGCTCAACTATATGACTGGGAATGTAGTATGTTGGTTCAAAAATAAACTTATCCGCATAAGTTGTACATTCGGAACGAATAAATAACCAACCTAAAATTGAACGGAATATCAGGTCTATACAAGCACCACAAGCTCACATGGCGTGTTGCCATTACGGAAATCACGGCACGAGCTTAAACATCGGTTCAGCTGATTGTTAAGACGATCCCTTCGTTTGACATTTCTCAAACGAATGATCTGTTGAGCATGGCTTTGTCCATACACAGTATATTCAAAGGTAGTGACTTTTTGAATGGAACGCTGAAGCACAATGCCAGATAGACAGGTGAATCACGTATGTCTACAACAGTTGAATAACCTCACATGAACACACGTGTTTCAGACAGAACAAGAGAATCAATGCCTTTTAGTGGCATTCATCGCACCATGGGGTCGGTTACTGATCAGGTACCTGAAAACCCGCTTTCAAAGCATGCGTGAGAACTGTACTGAAAGACCGCTTATCTGACAAAGATATTCAGGTAATTCACTCGGCCAGGTTGTCATACATGTTTAGGAATATGTAAGCCAAATATGATTTCCCAAGTAAGAGAATGATGTTCACTTAGGTTCACGTATACACCCAATCCGAGCAACAAAACCTGTGAACTTTGGTCACCAAATGGAAAACAC